AATAAATAATATATATATATATATATATATATATATATATATATTAGTATAATAACAAATAACAATAGGAATATAAAGTTAAAACTATATATCAATATGATGTGTTATGCTAGTGTTTGACCAAGGTTCAATGAAGCTTAAATATAATCCAGATCATTAACCAAAACACAATTAACCTTGGTATACTAATAACTAAACAAGGGTCAGGTAGGTTGAAGTATTACATTGATGTGTAACTAAAGTCCAATAAGACCTGATTATAACATTAATGATTGATCAAGGCATAATTAGGTTGAAAAATGAGTTGGATTAGGTTACATCCAATATTTCATTGGGTTACAAATTTCAATCCTCCTTGGCTCCAATTGTTTAATACCTTTCAAAGTGGCATGAATGGTATATACAAAGACACACCTATGCTCAAATCAGGAAGGAGTAGTAGTGTTTTATCTATTGAGATTAGGTTAGGTTTAACTGCATAATGTACCATGTTATATAGAGAATGTTGGCATTAATGGTGGATATTGTTATGGGTAATGGATTGATTTTATGGGTTGACAGACTATATTGATAGCTAAATTAGATTCATTTGATGTTTAAGAGTGAAGACAAATGTGATATTTGGTGACTAATAATAATCATTATGTACCAATCTAGTGATTGATTTATGTGATTGCTAAATAACAAACATGATTTTTGGTAGCTATTTTGAGTTTCCATTAGCAACTAAACAATTAGTAACAAAATCAAAGACCACCATATTAGTCACTAAATTGGTGACATACATAATGAAATTATTTTCAAATTAGTTTGTTTAGAGACTAATTTAGAGACCTATTTGTAAACTTAATAACCATTTTAACAACCAATATTTTAGATACTAAGTATCATTTATATATTTCTGTTCAATAACACTTGTGTGTATTACATACAATTACATCCAACATTAGCATAATCTTAATAACATATATATCTTGACTAAAATTAAATAAATGACATTAATCATTTTCATTAATCAAAATAACATATATAAAAAAAACTCAAAGTTTTCAAAATACAACTAAAGTGCTCAAATTGTCATTAATATATTTAAAAATTCAATAAAAATTATTTAATTATTGTTAAGGAAAAAAAAAAGACAAGATATTTAGGCCTTGATTAATCACCAATGTTACATTTCACTTAAGTGGGCCTTAGTACATTATTAGTGTACTGCTTCAAACTAATTAGGCTTTGGTCAACTACTAGTATTCAATTGAACCTAATTGAGCATCAGTCTATCATCAGTGTAACATTTTGTCCTAATTGATCCTTGGTTGTTAAATTTAAGTCTTAATTGGCCTCGGTTAATCACTAATGTTACACTTGGACCTAATTGGGTCTTGGTTAATCATCAATGTTACAATTGGGGCTAATTGGGTCTTGGACCATCGTCATTTTAACATTTTTATTTAATTAGTCATTTCTCAATCATTAGTTTACAATTTGGCTTAATTGGGTCTTGGTACATTGTTAGTGTAACATTACTATCTAAACGGGCTTTAATTAATCATTAATGTTTCAGTTAGACCTTATTTGACATTGGTCCACTGCTATGTAATATTTAGTCATTTATCAATCATTAATACTACACTTGGCCTTATTAGGCCTTGACCAATTGATAATGTTACACTGCAGCCTAATTG